GACCTAATCAATGGCACCGACAGGAGGTGAGGTGCCCGTGAGCCCCTGACCGTGCCCCATTTGGGGCTTCCCCCATGGCAGGGGCACATTTTGGGCTTGGCAGTGGCTTGGAGACTAGGGCATCCCCATGGATCGTGGTGAGTCATGGCAGGTTGTGGTGTCTCTCTGCCTCTGCAGCGTCCTGAACAACTACCTGATCTGGAACCTGGTGCAGAAGACGGCCTCCAGCCTTGACCAGCGCTTCGAGACAGCCCAGGAGAGGCTGCTGGAGACGCTCTACGGCACCAGGAAGGTAACGGGGGGCCCTGGGACCAGCCTCCTATGCCCTCAGCCTGGAAGCGGCCAGGACCATCTCTGCCCTTGGGATGTCCTTGGGATGCTGGGCCCTGGATGCTGCAGAGGGAACCCAGGGATCATCTTTTAGGATGGGGATTTAGCTGCTGAGCATCTCCCTCCTGGGGAGGCGGCAGAGCTGGGCTGGGGGAACAGAGGGGAGCAGGGAAGGGAGCTGAGGGTCTCACAGACCCCTGTCTCACTCTCACAGTCCTGCACACCCCGCTGGCAAACCTGCATCTCCAACACGGACGACACGCTAGGCTTCGCCCTGGGCTCCCTCTTCGTCAAAGCCACCTTCGACCGGGACAGCAAGGCCATTGTGAGGACACTTCTGCCCTTGTACCCTTCCCATCAGCACCCACAGGAACCCCCCTTTTCCCCCCCAAACTCCAGGGCTGGAAGGCGGGGAGCAAGGAAATGGGACCCCCAGCCCTGAGGAGGTCACATCCTGCCCACCCTGTCCCTGCCTGAGGGGCTGCAGAGGGCAGGGGGGCTTCAGTCCCTCCCCTCCCCAGGCTGAAGAGATGATCAGCGAGATCCGGGAAGCATTCGAGGTGTCCCTGGACCAGCTGGACTGGATGGACGAGAAGACCAGGCAGGCTGCGAAGGAGAAGGTGACCCCAGGGAGGGCAGTGGGTGGGAGACCTCCCCCCATCCTGGTAAGCCCCTCCACACCATCTCACTGCTGGAGCCTCTCCCGACGCAGGCGGATGCCATCTATGACATGATCGGCTTCCCTGACTTCATCCTGGACAACAAGGAGCTGGACGATGTCTATGATGGGGTAGGGGGGCACCCGGCTCGTGGGGAGGGGGTCTGGTCCCTGCTCACGCCAAGTCCTGAGGGGCCCCATGGTGGGGCAATGTCCCTATTTGGGGGACCCATTTGGGACAGGGCATTAACAGAGCCACCCTGGTACCGAGCGCATCCTGGCCAGGGTGGGGTGAACCACCCTGGTGGACCCCTCATCCCTCCTCTTCCTCTCCAGTACGAGGTCTCAGAGGACTCCTTCTTCCAGAACATGCTCAACTTCTACAATTTCTCTGCCAAAGTGATGGCCGACCAGCTCCGGAAACCCCCCAACCGCGACCAGTAAGGAGGAGGGCTGGGGGGGGGGAGCGGAGGATGTGACACCAGCACTGTCCCCAGTATAGCCTGGGTGGCACTGGTTCACTGGGGGGAAGGTCTCCCCAGGGGGTAGCACAGCGTTGTAGGTCACCTGTGGTGGCTCTGGCTTGTCCCCAGGACAGGGTCCCTTGGTCATGGGACAGGGGCAGCAATGCCAGCCCCGGGCAGGGCAGCCAGGGGACCCACGGTGGGAGATGGCACAGGAGGGTGCCGAGGTGGGGGGAAGAGGGGATACATCCCTGCCTGTCCCCTGTCCCACCTCCCTGCCCCAGGTGGAGCATGACCCCGCAGACCGTCAATGCCTACTACCTGCCCACCAAGAACGGGATCGTTTTCCCCGCCGGCATCCTGCAGGCTCCCTTCTACGCCCGCAACCACCCCAAGTGAGCCTGGCATGGGGATGGGGGGCATCTCCTGGGGTTGGGGGGGCATGGGTTGGATCAGGACCAGCACCCCACAGAGCCCCCCACAGTCACGAAGCAAAGCCCTGAGGGCCTTGAGGATCCCTCAAGGCTTTACATCCTGCAGCCAAGACAGCCTGCAAAGTCCCTGTGGGGCCACCAGTGTCCCCAACAGGACTCATTCCCAGCTGGGTGCCAACTGGAGCAGAGTCTTGCTAGGTGCCCTGGACACAAACAGGCTGTGGAGGGGGTGCCTGGTGCAGGGGCAGGCTGTGATGGCATCATCCCCCCCCCCACTTACCTGGCTCTCTCCCATGGCCCCACAGAGCCCTTAATTTCGGCGGTATCGGCGTGGTGATGGGGCATGAGCTGACCCACGCATTCGACGACCAAGGTGAGAGCCCGTGGGCAGCACCGTCTCCGACCCCCATCACCTTCTCGCCCTCCCACCCCTTGGCCCCCCACCCACCCCCTGCCCTTGGCGTGGGGATGGGGTGCCGCGGGCGCGCGGGGGTCCCGCTTTGCCATCCATTGCATCATGCGTGCTCGTGCACCCCTGGCCGCCCCCCCTTCTATCGTCCTGTCTCCCCAGGTGGCACCTGCCGATAGCTCCCCCCGGCTTCTCTGTGCAGCTTTCGCTCCATCTGCTTGGTGAGGACACGGTGTCTGCAGCCCCGGCCCCCACCTCATCCTCCTCCCCGTGGGGCACGGGACGGGTCCCTCTCGCATCCGCTCTGCTTTGTGCCTTCACTGCAGCCCCGGAGCCAAGAAGGGTTCAATGGGGGAATTTGGGGTGACAAATCCAGTGGGGATGCACCAGGGGATGGTTGGGGACCCAAGTGCACAGCTGAGCCCCAGCCGGAGCCCACCCGGAGCAGGGACGGGGGGACACCATCTCCTCTGGGCATGGACCCAAGGCACCAGGTCCCCCGATGTCCCCTGGGGCTCTCCCCACCACACCCACCCTGCTTCGGGACCCCCTGCAGCGGGGGCTCTGCAGGGGGCCGGCGTCCCCCGGTCCCATGCCACGTCTCGGTCCTGCAGGGCGGGAGTACGACAAGGAGGGCAACCTGCGGCCATGGTGGCAGAACTCCTCCCTGGAGGCCTTCAAGAACCGGACGGCATGCATGATGGAGCAGTACGGCCGCTACACCGTCCACCGCGAGAAAGTCAATGGCCGGCAGACGCTGGGCGAGAACATTGCTGACAACGGTGGGCTCAAGGCAGCCTACAATGTGAGTGCCACTGTCCCGAGGGGACACGGACCCCTGTGCCTGTCTGTCCCTCCTCAGGGCTTCAGGGCACTTCTCCCACAGGCATACAAGTCCTGGCTGCAGAAGAACGGGGAGGAGAAGCGCCTGCCAGCCCTGGGGCTCACCAACCACCAGCTATTCTTCGTGGGCTTTGCTCAGGTAGGACAGAGCGGGATGGTGGGTTCCCCATCCCTCCCCGACCCCTCGGAGCCAGCCCACAGCCCCCCATCCCGCCCCAGGGGGCTCTGCCCCCTGTCCCTGAGGCTGCTCCTGCCCCGGCAGGTGTGGTGCTCCGTCCGGACGCCCGAGAGCTCCCACGAAGGGCTGGTGACCGACCCCCACAGCCCTGACAAGTACCGCGTCATCGGCACCCTCAGCAACTCCCGGGACTTTGTCGAACATTTCGGCTGCCCCCTGGGCTCCCCCATGAACCCCGGCAAGCACTGTGAGGTGTGGTAGGGATGGGGAGGGTGCTGGGGACAGAGGGGCTGATGCTCTGCTGTGTCCCCCACCCCAGCCCTCGCCAGCTGCCGGAGCTGGCCCACAGGCAGAGAGCAGGGTCACCCCCCCAGGTCACCTTCCGTCGCGGTTCCCCCCTGTGCACACACCGCACGCC